ACCCTGCTGATGTATTTGCTCCCAATCTTTGCATGGAGAGTTTGTTTTGATGTAGAGGCAGACTCTCAGGGTAGGGTGGGATATCCCCTCCATTTTTCCCTCGCTTTGAGAGCTTTTTTGAGCTTGGGAGATGATTTCCGAGAAAACCAGTTGTACCATCGTGTTTCTCGCGAACTTTTACCAAGAATCAACAGTCAAATCGCACATCCCTCACACATGCAACATCTCCATTCCTCAATGACGCTCCTTATGTGGCAACAATGGAAAAAAATTCATTACTCATTCGACACACGGCTTGACGCAGTCTCTGAGTATTTGGTTCTGTTGAAAACCTCCCTTTACACTCACGTAATCTCCCGTGCTCTCTTTCGTCGTCCTATTCGGCACGTTTTTCTCATACATTTCATTGGCAAACGATTCGCCCACCACCCTTCTCCCCTATTTTAAGTCATTACCTCCTCAAGATTGATCTTGATGCGGTCCTCTTGAAAGTCGACGGTCGACATGGATGCCACACTACAGTAATCTTTGTCTATTTCGTCATTTCTCTTACGAAAGATCGTAACTACATCCCACGAGAGACCCGACAGCGGGCCGATAATTGAAATTGATAGACAAAGCGATAGACAAAGAAGACATAGGGAGTATGGAGCGATCGTATTGGTTGAAATGGGTGGTTTATATAGACTAAAGGAGAAAATGATCGACTAACTATCGGGTCGCTCGTGGGTTGCCGTTACTTAGGTAGTCTATTACCTACCTCCTTTGTCCATTGCAACCACCCACTTCCACCAATGGGATCCCTCTATATCTCTTTTGTCTTCTTTGTCTATAGCTTTGTCTATCAATTTCAATGCTCGGCCCTCTGTTTCCGTCATTTTCCCTCGAAGTCTATGAGAAGCATCCGTTTCAACCAATAAGATCGCTTCATACTCTCTATGTCTTCTTTGTCTATCGCTTTGTCTATCAATTTCAATGATCAGTTCCTAGGCTTGTTCAAGCTTCCCTTTGTCTTCTTTGTCTATCGCTTTGTCTGGGAATATATATGAATAATCATATCAACGGCGTAAGTCTGCAACAACATATCTCGTTTGCGGTTTCTGAAAATCTCCGCCTCTATTTTATTTTTTTTAAGGGAAACAAACTGACATCATTCCTTGAAGTTTTTGCAGAATTTTCTTCGGACAGAGAGGAAAAATCACGGCAGTTTTGAAGAATTGACCTTGAGCAGTTTTCTTTTTAAAATGTGAAGTATTACAGGAGGTCTGCGACGCGACGTCGCAAACCGAGTCATGTGATTGCCGACTTACACCGTCGTTGTGTTTTAATGTTACCTAATTTCCTCTCGCAAATCGCATTTTTTCCCGGGGAATCTGGGCAAAAGCTGCGCGGACTATAAGTAATATTGAGTGCTGGTAACCCAGGATGGAAATGGATCAAGGAAAGAAAGGAACATCCTACTAGGGAGGAAGGTTATAGCGGTGTCTTTTGGGATCCGCAGATTTCCAAAGAGAACAAGAGGAGAATTTACAATGTTGTGGTCAAAACTATTCTTTACCTGGTAAAAATTGGAAGTAGGATCTGTGTACCAAAATACCATAGGCCTACAGCCGGCTGCAAGATTTCCAATAGCTTCTATAGCCGGCTACACGATTTCTTATAGCCTTTTATAGCCGATGGCGATTAAGCAACAGCCAGGCACTAAAGTGTATGCCAAACGTTACTAATTACGGATGCTAGGACTTACCCAGTGAGTTTTTGGACCACTGCTCTCTTTTTGGGCCGTAGTATCTTGATTTATTTTGCGAGGAAAGCTCCGTATGTTTTGATGGATGCCTGTCATTCCTAATATATTAGAGCGCCTTTAGTTTCGTACGATACTGTGCAATACCTTTGGTGTGAAATAGTTGCTTCAAGCGCCGCGGCACGCTGCGGTGCGGCAGGCGGGTAGCCAGCGCGAAACGCGCATTGGCGCCTACAAACCTAACAGGAATACTCCACGCATTGCGCAACGCGTGAGGTATCCCTGTTGGGTTTGTAGGCGCCAGTGCGTCGCCGCTCCGCTTTGCATTAGGCTCTAATATTTAATCTGGCGGAGTCAGCGTTATTCAAATCATGATTTTGAAATGTTTGCACATCCTGTATGGATTATTTTCATTTTAATTGATAAAAAAAAATATGTATTAAAGGAAAATATAATGTGTGTTTTGTAAATATTAAGGTGGTTCCGTATCAAACTTAACGATTTCCAAAGCACACGCATTTCTACACAATTTCTTATAGCCTTTTATAATCGATGGCAAAAAAGCAACAGCCAGGCGATAAAGTGTAAAGCCCGGCGATAGGAAGTGTTGCCCGGCTGCATAATTTTGTATCGCTTCCAGTGGCTTGGCGTGAATGATCGATTATCGATATTTCCTCATTTGAAATCGTGGTAAAGAGTCGATTATTTAGGTGTTCGCCGGGAATACCCTGTTAATCGATCCTTTTCCATAGGTTTAAATGACAGGTCAATCGATATATCGCAGAGCACGCCACGCCACTGATCGCTTCGTATAGCCCGGCCGTATGATTTTCTCCGCATTCTACAGCCAGCTTCTTTTTTTTTTTTTTTTTTTTTTTTTTTTTTTTTTTTTATAGCTTGATATAGAACAGATGCGTTTTCACTTACAATGAAAGTGATAGATTGAATTTAAGGAACAAGAATTATTAGGACTATAAGTAACAGAGATTAGCTATGATGAGATGAAAACAAGTATAAGAATTACTTAAATCAACTCGGGTGATGGTGCGCGATGATTTGATTCTCTGTAGCCTTCTTTAGCCGGCTATAAGAATTCCTATGGTGTTTTGAAACACAGCTCTTGTCGCCAATTTTTACCAGGGTTTTTATGGATGTGAAGTGTGGCATCTGAAGAAACGGACATAGGGTATGCTAAAAGCAACGGAGACGGGTTTCTGAAGACGGTCGCCGGTCGACTGGGATTTCTAGAAGAGATCGGGTCCGTAATGATCGAGTGCGTCGGATTGTTGGACATCGTATTCGACGTCATGACCAAACAGCTTGTCTGGTATGGTCATGTTAGATGGATAACGGTAGAAAGGCTGCCGAAGAAGATACTTAATTGATTTCCTCCTGGGAGGAGACAAGGTGGACGCCCAGCGAAGGGAGGTGACAGGAGGTTTTAGAGGAAATGAGGGAGTGTCAACTCCCTGAAGTACTTTGGGAGGATAGGGTATACTTTAGTGACTGGGTGTCGCACAGCGCCAAAGAGAGCTATGGAAGCGGTTTTTACGTATGTATCTTGGGCATTTCTATCTGAATATTTCACTAATTTTTCCTTAGATGGCAAAAATAAAAAAAAATTAAACAAAACTTGCGTGGATACATTCTCGTAAAAAATTGAATTGTTTGCGTCAATTTTGCAACCGTGGAATGGAGTTGCGTTCTTTCGCCCGGGACGACGAATTGATGGAGAATTGGTGCTAACTAATGTAGCCTTCCAACCATATTTCTCTGGTTCGGTGAAATCGCACGTAAAAATACTCACAGCGGAGACGGGATGGATCAAATTGAAATCTTGAGACACTCTCTGATTAATTAACACAAAAAAATTGTGGGTAGAGTGTTCGGTCTAAAAGTCAGGCCTCGAACCATATTTTCCGACTAATCCCTGTCCCTAATGTTTCTCGCGTCTACTTGAATCAGCGAGTTCGAAAACACACCAACTCGGGTTTTTTCGATTTTCACTTTTTTTGCGGTTTAGTAACACTTATGGATAGAAGCATCCGCACACAAAAGGAAATTTCGAAATTGGAATCGGAAGTGCTCGAAACAGCGACGGGAAAAGGGAAGAATCGATGTATTTCATTGGAAATACAAATTTTTGGGCATTTCAAGGGGAAAGGGTGACCACCCGATTTTGCGGCTTTCTTTCTTCGGTTCAGTATACCTTGTACCAACAAGTTATATAAATATTCAAGCGTTATTCAGGTCGAAAAATATAAATTTTTCAGGGCAGCCTGTGAAAAATCAGTATCTGAAAGTCGGTGGGAACGAAAACACACCAACTCGGAAATTTTTAAACGCTTAATTCTCTGTCATCAAACATGGTGTATCGATTTAAACTTGGTGCTTTACAAAGTCTCTAAGTACTTGTCCTTTGGCACCAAAGAGGTTTTTCTTAAACTAACTTCTTCGCCCGCTGCGCAGTTTTAGGTGTTACCTGAACAATTTTTTTTTCCGAGTTGGTGTATTTTCGAACTCACTGATTCACTTATTCTTTACAAAATTTCGCCGCATTATCAAACATCTTCATGGTCTCAAATAAATCACAGATAGAACATACAGATTAAATCCACCGGCCAAACGACTTCTAAAATTTTGGCCTCCAAAAATTTAATCGAAAATTTTCTCAACGTTGTGAAGCGTTTATTGACCCAACAAAAATCGATTTTTGAAAGTTTAGGCATTATATCGACTCAAATTTGAAACTGGATTTTACAATGATGCCGTATATGAAGGAGCCTTCGAGCCTTGTTCTGTTTTTTCTGATAAAATTGGACTGCTTCGGCAAACTTGTGCTCCTTTTGCTTTAATGTTTTCAAATAAACTGGTGATTTTACCTGATGTTTTAAAACTTATCAGATGGAACACTAATAAGTTTTCTAAGCAGTGGATATCTTATCATGAGACATTTGGCAACATTCGAATGTTCATGCGAATTTTTATTCAGCAAGCCAAAATCATTCGGGTTCCATGCTCGATTGAGGGGAAATAAAATCAAAGAACTAAAAATAGATTAAATTAGAATTTCATAATGGAATTTTAATATATTGAATGAAATTTCAACGTAATTTTTGTATTTATCTCTCTTTTTTACCCTCTAGATCGTGTGAGCCCCATAACAGCCTGCATGTTCATCAATTAATATTTTTGGGCCAAAATTTTAGAAAATGTTCCCCTTTCTTTAATCAAAAGTTCTCAAACCTTTACGTACCTCAGATTGTAACGAATGTTGGTACGATGGAGTAACATATCTGAGGATCTCCTTGGGTGATTATTTCGAACCACATGCGAAGACTCAAAAACACAAAAATTATACAAAAAATCACCGGTAGTCTTTCTAATTCACGTTGTGCAAACACTGGTGGGAATAATTCTACGGGGAAACGAATTCCAAATTTTGACACTTAATTAAAATATCAAATTCACTGTCTCCAGTGAACAGTCCTCCAATTCGAATTAAAATAGTATAATAATCGGCGAAAACACTTGTCCCGATTTTTCTTCCTTCTTATATGAACTAATCGTTTTGAGTTCGTCCTTTATTTCCGGGGGTAAAATTTCGGGCGCAAAATCAGCTGGAGCGAGCGATTCGCGCTGGATTTCGGGACGGGGTTCGCGGAAATTGGGACACGTGCTACGGACGGACGGGTGGGCGCGGGAATGCAGCTCAGGCTGCACTGGTGTCGCGACGGTTGCATAAGTCGCAGGGGCGCAGGCGTCGCACCGCTCACGGGGCCGTCCCGGAGGGCTGTCGTTGTAACGGTGAAATTTTGATCACGGGGTGGATTTCTCGAGATGGGTCAGCGCTGTGTGGAGCTCTCCCACGCCGAGGAAAAACGACCTATGAGCTTTCGAATGTTGCCGAATTTCGTCTGATGGAAACATGTTTTCTAAAAAAATGGAGATGTTGCATGTGTGAGGAATTCGCGATTTGACTGTTGAATCTAATGTAAAAGTTCGTGAGAAACACAATGGTGCCACTGCTTTTCTTTGAAATCAACTCCCAAACTCAAAAAAGCTCTCAAGTTGAGACCTAAATGGAGGGGATATCCCACGCTATCCTGGGTGTCCACCTCTACATCAAGACGAACTCTCCGTGCAAGGGTAGGGAGCAAATACATTGACAGAGTTGCCACTTTCTTTGGGGACTCCAAAACTGAAAACGCGGCAACCCTGCTAATTTATTTGCTCCCTATCTTTGCATGGAGAGTTTGTCTTGATGTAGAGGTGGACTCTCAGGATAGCGCGGGATATCTCCTCCATTTTGGCCTCAATTCGAGAGCTTTTTTTGAGCTTGGAAGTTGATTCCAGAGAAAACCAGTGGCACCATCGTGTTTCTCGCGAACTTTTACGAGAGAATCGACAGTCAAATCGCAAATTCCTCACACATGCAACATCTCCATTACCTGAAAATTACCCAAGACTGTGATTGATAATATAGCTGCACGGACCATTGATCACGTCAGAGGGGACACGCAGTTGGAAGTCCTCAAGCGGTGCGAGAGATATTTTCGGACGACATTTTGAGTTTCTCGGTTAATATGCGCGTTCAGGTGGGAGCTCAAAATTAGCAAATTTGGGGTTGTTTTTCGACGTGCGAAAATTTCGTCCAAAACATCTGAAAAAACTTGTGGGTCAAAAGTGCCTTTTAATTTTTAAACAAGAAAATTGCAAAAAAAAAATTTAACATTCACAAATTTCTGAGCGAGGTCATTGCGAATGAAATCCTTAAAATATTCAACGAAAAAAGTTCTTAAGTTTCCTGAAAAATTCGTGCTTTATTAAGAGGAATTCGCAACGCCCGAGACTTAACGCGGCTTTTTACCTAGCGCGACACCATACGGATCCTTAATTCGTTACGCTGTCCTAAAGAAGAATGTTACGTGAGCTTTTAGAAGTTGACAAATTTCCATTTCGCATTTTCCAACATTACAACATTTTGCATTTTTCCGCATTTTCGCATTTTTTTTTTTCGTATTTTCCATTTTCATTTTCGCGTGGCGTGCTTGATCTGTCATTTAAACCTATGGAAAATGATCGATAAACAGGGTGTTCGCTGCGAACACCTTAATAATCGATTCTTTACCGCGGATTTAAATGGTATATTAATCGATACATCACAATTCACGCCACGCCTTTGCAAATTTCGGAATGTCCATACGACGTTTTCTCCCAGATTTGCCAGGGAATTTATTAGCATCGCAGCGTTCAGATCATAATTCGTTGTGCCTTATGAACTTTTAGGCCGCTGAAAAATTTCAAGCGTTGAAATATAAATTTTCTGAGAAAAACCTGAGTACTCTCTTTCGATAAAGAGTTTGCAGGTGTCTGAAATTTAATGAATTTCGTGTTTAAATAAAAATATACTGAGTAAACTGAACACGAGATACCCTCGGTTCATATATTAAGCAATTATTAGAGAATTTATGACAAAACGATGATCTCTGGGAGGATAGGGGGCAAAGGCGATTGGGCGTCGCAGAGCGCGAGGCTGCGCTATAAAAGCGGCTTAATGTATGTGTATGACAAAACGATCTCATCTGCTATGATATATATCGTATTTAAATGGGAAATACCACCGGTTGACGTCACTAGGCGGTACATTTTCTCACTTTTATATCTATGTTCATACTAATTCCCACATCAGAAAGATATGTAGAAAGTACATCGAAATCGATGTTTTAAGCGTGCAAAATCAGGGAACAAAATCGGGTTGAATGTTGAAATTGATAGACAAAACGATAGAGTAGCGGTGAGTAAGGGCGATCTTATTAGTTCAGTCACGTGGTTCTCATAATTATAGACTAAGGGGTCAAATGATGACCAACTGTGAGGTCTCTCGCGGGTAGTTATTAGTTAGTCCATTACCTGCGTCTTTCGTCCATTGCAACCATCCGCTTCCACCAGTATAGGATCCCTTCATATCCCGTTTGTCTTCTTTGTCTATAGCTTTGTCTATCAATTTCAACAATCAGGCCGCAAGGAAAATTCAACAGGGAATTCAAACGGCAATTCACTCTGAAGTATGCGAAAGTTGCTATAGCTTTATCCAAGTAGCATTTTTCAACGGAAAAATCGGGATATATTGCAATTTTATCGGCGATAAAATCGCTAGGATCATTTACATCTGAGTGATCATCCTCGATCTTATCGGGATAAAATCGTGATTTTATCGCCAGGCAATTTATAGCGATATTCCCGAAATAAAAATCGCGGTAAATGCCGATTTAATCTCGATTTTATCGACAAGCTCAAAAAAAGCTCTCAAGTTGAGGCAAAAATGGAGGGGATATCCCACGCTATCCTGAGAGTCCACCTCTACATCAAGGCAAACTCTCCATGCAAAGATAGGGAGCAAATACATTGACAGGGCCGTCACTTTATTTGGGGACTCCAAAACTGAAAACACGGCAACCCTGCTGATGTATTTGCTCCCTATCTTTGCACGGAGAGTTTCTTTTTATGTAGAGGTGGACTCTCAGGGTAGGGTGGGATATCCCCCCCCCCTCATTTTGGCCTCAACTTGAGAGCTTTTTTTGAGCTTGGGAGTTGATTTCAGAAAAAACCAGTAGCGCCATCGTGTTTCTCGCAAACTTTTACATAAGAATCAACGTCAAATCGCAAATTCTTCACACATGCAACATCTCCATTCACTCTTAAGTATGAGAGAGCTGTTATTACTTTAGTGTATGTTACAGTGGACTCTCTATAGTTCGAAATTGAAGGGAATCGTCTTTTTATTCGAATTAGCGAGGTTTCGAATTAAAGAGATTCTTTGTGGAGTAATTTCGAATTTGAGAGGTTCGAATATAGAGGGGCAAATGGACGGATTTACGCCAAAAATAACCAAAAATCTCAGTTTATTTCTTTGCGGAAGTGAAAATTACACTAAGTTATTATTGATTATTAATTATTTATATTTAATCAGCTGCTTAGTAATCAGCTGATCAAGCTTTTTGCGGGGAGACTCAAGGGACTTGTTTACAGGTTGACAATCCTATCAGCTCTTTCAGACACCCAGTTACGTGAACAGTTGACTTCGAATTGTAGAGGGAATGTACCGTCTTATTTCGAATTATAGAGAAAGGACCATATTTACTTCCCACACTTCGAATTACAGTGAGAATTTTTGTCGCAATTTCGAATTATAGAGGGCCGTGCTAGCTCAAAAATATCGAAATAACGAGGGGAGAAAATTACATTGATTTTCTTCGATTTATCGAGAGGTTTTCAAGGGAAACAGACTTTCCTTCGAATTAACGAGATTTTCGAATTATCGAGGGTCGAATTATCGAGAGTCCACTGTATTTCAAATTCCCCCATGGTTATTTGTGCTGAAATCTGAGAAAAATACCAAAAATTCCATTATGTCAAGGTGTTCTGGAAAACCTTAATTCTCCTGAAAACAGGCTTTCCCGAGGAAACTTTGATTAGAGAAAGAACTCGAATCAGAGTGAGAATTTTCGTCGCAATTTCGAATTATAGAGGGCCGTGCTAGCTCAAAAATTTCGAAATAACGAGGGGAGAAAAATACATTGATTTTCTTCGATTTATCGAGAGATTTTCGAGGGAAACAGACTTTCCTCCGAATTATCGAGATTTTCGAATTATCGAGGTTCGAATAATCGAGAGTCCACTGTATTAGAGTCCCTTTATACTGAGAGTCAAGACAATGCGAATCCATTTCTGATTGGTTAACCGGATTTTAGGCCTTCACAGTGTCACAAACGGGAATAAAGATTACATTTTCACCAATTGCAAAGATTATAATCTGGAATGGACCGAGGAATTTCGGGTTCGACAAGGAACAAACGGAATGAGAGATGGAACGGAGAAAGGAATTTAAGAATGGGCCAATCAAAGATTACGAAAAACGTTCAATTTTTGTAATCTTTATTCCCGTTTGTGACTCCATGAGGGGTGTTGTCTTGACTCTCAGTATAAAGGGACTCTACACTGTATAACTTTCACCCAAACTAAACATTTTATCGCGGGAAATTCGGTAACATTGGAATGTCCGCGAGGGGGATTTTCGCCGGGTTCCGCTGGGGTCGACCCCGGTGAGCGGGGATGCGGGACCCCCGCCGTCCAGGCGTCCCTGATACTGCACAGGGTTACGGGGCACAGTCCCAGCGCCGCGCTTGCCAGCTGCAATTTAATAGGCTATGACGTCAGTCGCGGTCTCCGTGGCCCCGCGTTGTCGGTCAGAACGCAGCTACGTCATCCCCCCCTCCGCCCGCCCCCCGCCCATTGATCCCCAAGCACAACAGTGATTCCAACGCTCGTCCCGCCCAGTCTTAGACACCGCTCCGAGTTATGGACCCTTCGACACAGTTCCTCGTTCCCCTGTCCAAAGTAGAGTGCCTAAATACGGAAGCGTACACTGAAAAAAAAATCTCGGTGTATTTACTAAGAAAAGGGTAAAATTGCCTAGAATTGGACCGAGTTTAACAGAAAGGAACCAAGCCACATCAGCGATTGCAAAGTTTAACTGGGCAATTAAATCGTTTACGAGAGAACGGTTGTTCGGATTTCTTTGAAAATTTTAAGGAATTTGCTTCGCACCACGGAGAATTTTCACTGAAATTCGCATGAAAATCCACACAACCGTTTTCATGTAAAAAATTAAATTGCCAAATATTTGGCAATAGCTGATGTGGCTTGGTTCCTTTCTGTTTAACGCGGTCCAATTCAGGGTTCTATTTGATCCCAGTTTTTTCTTGGTAAAATTACCATTTATGGAATTGGTAATTTTACCGAGAAATCTCCGTAAAATTATTGAACTTTCTCGGTAATTTTACTGGACCTAGGTAAAAATGCCAATATTTTTTATCGACTGTGGTAGAATTACCGAGATAAAATGGCAAAGTTACCGGGAATTGATTACCAATAAAAGTGGTTTTCTCACCTGAAAAACCTGTAAAAATACCGGTTTTTAGGTAAGCTTACGTGTCTGTCTTGGTAAAATTACCAATAATCGGTAAAAAAAGTGAGATGGTAAAGGTACCAACGGACCTTGGTAAAAACGACGATAATTTTTTTTCAGTGTATTGCCATCTCAATCCTTTTACTACAGAAAAAGTGTGCTGCTCTCTGATCGGCCGGCTATCATGGAGCCCCAAAGTTGGAACAACGTAAACAAACCCCAGCCCCTCCGCTTCTAGTTTGGCCCAATGTAAACAAACAAGATGGCGGAAGATATTACTGCTGAATTGCATACAAATATGTCGAGTCAAGATTTCCGCGCAAGAGAATAAAGCGCGTGTCCTTTCGCAGCTCATGGAGCAATCGGAGTACCTTTATACTGAGAGTCAAGACAATGTGAATTCATTTCTGATTGGTTCCCGTATTTTAGGCCTTCACAGTGTCACAAACGGGAATAAAGATTAAATTTTCACCGATTGCAAAGATTATAATCTGGAATGGACCAGGGAATTACGGGTTTAGCTAGGAACAACCGGAGTGAGAGAAGGAACGGAGAAAGGCATTTGAGAATGGGCCAATTATAGATTCCAAAAAACGTTCAATTTCTGTAATCTTCATTCCCGTTTGTGACTCCATGAGGGGGTGTTGTCTNTCTCGGTGTATTTACTAAGAAAAGGGTAAAATTGCCTAGAATTGGACCGAGTTTAACAGAAAGGAACCAAGCCACATCAGCGATTGCAAAGTTTAACTGGGCAATTAAATCGTTTACGAGAGAACGGTTGTTCGGATTTCTTTGAAAATTTTAAGGAATTTGCTTCGCACCACGGAGAATTTTCACTGAAATTCGCATGAAAATCCACACAACCGTTTTCATGTAAAAAATTAAATTGCCAAATATTTGGCATTAGCTGATGTGGCTTGGTTCCTTTCTGTTTAACGCGGTCCAATTCAGGGTTCTATTTGATCCCAGTTTTTTCTTGGTAAAATTACCATTTATGGAATTGGTAATTTTACCGAGAAATCTCCGTAAAATTATTGAACTTTCTCGGTAATTTTACTGGACCTAGGTAAAAATGCCAATATTTTTTATCGACTGTGGTAGAATTACCGAGATAAAATGGCAAAGTTACCGGGAATTGATTACCAATAAAAGTGGTTTTCTCACCTGAAAAACCTGTAAAAATACCGGTTTTTAGGTAAGCTTACGTGTCTGTCTTGGTAAAATTACCAATAATCGGTAAAAAAAAGTGAGATGGTAAAGGTACCAACGGACCTTGGTAAAAACGCCGAGAATTTTTTTTCAGTGTATTGCCATCTCAATCCTTTTACTACAGAAAAAGTGTGCTGCTCTCTGATCGGCCGGCTATCATGGAGCCCCAAAGTTGGACCAACGTAAACGAACCCCAGCCCCTCCGCTCCTAGTTTGGCCCAACGTAAACAAACAAGATGGCGGAAGATATTACTGCTGAATTGCATTCAAAAATGTCGAGTCAAGATTTCCACGCAAGAGAATAAAGCGCGTGTCCTATCGCAGCTTATGGAGCAATCGGAGTCCCTTTATACTGAGACTCAAGACAATGTGAATTCATTTCTGATTGGTTCCCGTATTTTAGGCCTTCACAGTGTCACAGACGGGAATAAAGATTACATTTTCAACGATTGCAAAGATTATAATCTGGAATGGACCAGGGAATTACGGGTTTGGCTAGGAACAACCGGAGTGAGAGAAGGAACGGAAAAAGGAATTTGAGAATGGGTCAATCATAGATTACAAAAAACGTTCAATTTCTGTAATCTTCATTCCCGTTCATCCCCCCATTCCCGTCATTCCCGTGACTCCATTAGGGGGTGTTGTCTTGACTCTCAGTATAAAGGGACTCTGAGAGCAATGCAATAGTCGTATGTTTTTCGATTAGATAACTAAACGCACTCCTCGGTATGTATGTTGCCTAACAGCGAATTTGAAGGCGAACCTAACATGAACGATTTCTCCCAACGGGTTTACGCATCGTCTCCATTAGTTCAATCAAAGTTTAGTCCAACGTTGTCTCGTTGTGTAAGATTAAGATGTTTTCCAAATAGATAACCATTCCCCTGGTAAAACTTGGCAGTAGAATCTGTGTTCCAAAATACCACAGACCTACAGCCGGCTGTAAGATTTCCAATAGCTTCTATAGCCGGCTACACAATTTCTTATAGCTTTTCATAGCCGATGGCGACTAAGCAACAGCCAGGCGATAAAGTGTATGCTAAACGTCACTAATTACGGATGCTAGGACTTAGTGAGCTTTTGGACTACCACTCTCTTTTTTGGCCGTAGTATCTTGATTTATTTTGCGAGGAAAGCTCCGTATGTTTTGATGGATGCCTGTCATTCCTAATATATTAGAGCGCCTTCAGTTTTGTATGATACCGTGCAATACCTCAGGTGTGAAATAGTTGCTTCAAGCGCCGTGGCACGCTGCGGTGCGCCAGGCGGGCAGCCAGCGCGGAACGCGCATTGGTGCCTACAAACCTAACAAGGATACTTCACGCGTTGCGCAGTGCGTGAAGTATCCCTGTTAGGTTTGTAGGCGCTAGTGCGTCGCCGCTCCGCTTTGTGTTAGGCTCTAATATTTAATCTGACGGAGCCAGCGTTATTCAACTCATGATTTTGAAATATTTGCACATCCTGTATGGATTATTCTCATTTTAATTGATGAAAACAAATATGTATTAAAGGACAATTTAATGTGTGTTTTGTAAATATTTAGGTGGTTCCATATCAAACTTAATGATTTCCAAAGCACACGAGTTTCTACACAATTTCTTATAGCCTTTTATAATCGATGGCAAAGAAGCAACAGCCAGGCGAGAAAGTGTAAAGCCCGGCGATAGGAACTTTAGCCCGGCTGCATAATTTTTTTTCGCTTCGTATAGCCCTGCCGTATGATTTTCTCCGCATATTCTACAGCCAGCTATATGATTTTCTGTAGCCCTCTTTAGCCAGCTATAAGAATTCCCATGGTATTTTGAAACGCAGCTCTTATCGCCAATTTTTACCAGGGTCGTTCTCTCCTGAAATTTTGTTGCCCTCGCCCAGAAGACGCACTTCAAGTGAACGATACCTCCCAACCGATAATACCAAGTGCGATGAAATGTGGATATTTTACAGGTGTCCAAGTCAAGAAATGTGTTGATTTTTCAGCACTCTCTGGCAACAATGCTGCTTACATTCTCATAGTTTCAGTCACGGTTTGCTGCAAGATAATTGCCGGTTTCAGAATCAACGAGTGTAAAATCAACTTGATTTACGTGCGTAAAATTTCACGATCTAAAATTTTGATCGAATACATTTTCACCTCAAAATAGAATGATATCAGAGGAAAAGCGGTCACTTTTATATAATCGGGGATTGTTACGGACTATCGATTTTGTTCCGATGAAATTTGCTGAGCCTACTTCTACTATGTAGTATATACTTCAAACAATATTTTCTAAATTTACATTTTGTCCTCTCAAAATGTTTATAAGTGATATTCGGCACCAAAACAGTAGTTTCTAAACATTTCCGGATTCCCCGGAAAAATAAACTTTATAAACTCAAGGAAAGGGGTTTCTGACTCATCAGAGCTAAAGTTAGCACAGAAAACCAATTCGCTGAAAAATCTTGCGCATTTACCGAGTAAAACTACCGATCACATTTTTTTATCAAATCGGGAACTAATTTTGTGCGTAAGTTGATCTCACTTACTCGTCGTTTCGAAGAAAAACTTCGCAGTATGTCAGAGCAAAAGGGCAAACCCATTAGCAACACTTTTCAAGGTTTGAAGTGCGTCAAAAATATGACTTTAACCTTAAGAGGAAGGTATAAAAGTGGGCTTCGAGATTGGAGCTTTGCAAGTTATTTTTGATCATGGGTGCTGAGATCAAAAAAGTGTTCTTCGCAACGTTAGCCGTACTTTTGATCCAGGTACCTAATGCTTTAATTTTTAAGTTGTTGAATACAGTGTTTTTTGAGGGGAGTACCACCCTTATTTCTAACGTCTTTAAGTCGTACTGATCTTTCGGGTCCATATCAATTGATTTTAAAAATTTCCCTCAGATAAACACCCTTAATTTTTTTTTTTTTTTTATGTATAAATATTTTATGCTCAAGAGTTCCCAAGTCCAATTTTAGCAGAGACAGGAAAATCTGATATTGTAAATATGTACTCATGCATGATTTACATGATTCACGCGGATTTATTTTAATATAAGATTGGTCTTGTTATTTTTTATTTTTTTTTAATATTTAGGGGGTTGATAATGGCTATGGTCACCAACCAAATGTTTTGCGTTAATGTGTATTGTGTTTTAACCTTGTTTTCCACGAGTTTTTATTGCTTGTTTCATGTCACGTTCTCGGACTACTGCAACTAAAATTTCCGATATACAATCATTTATATAGGGAATACTTTTTGGCTTAAAATGGATCGAGCCAATGAAAGAGGTCGGACATGAATTTTTTTTCTAAAATTGCAAATTTATATGATTATTTTGTCCCATTTAAAATTTTCAGGGGTGCTACTGGAATAAAATTGCATGTAGAAACCAATGGCACCACTTTTGGATCCTCAAAGTTTTTTTTATAAACGGAGTTATATAAGCATTCAAAGTTGCCAAATTCTGTCCGACCTCTCCTATTGGCTTGCTCCGCTGTCCGGCAGTCATGTAGCGTGTAGCCTGTTCATATTCGGAAGTCTTTTGAAGTTATGTTTTGTCTCTAAAATTTAATTTGAACAAATCTTGAAAATGAAACCGGAAAATTGTACTTTGAGTATGAAACTATAAAATCCCTTTTCCCAGAGCATGTCACTCATGATAAAACGTTTTATCCGAAGAAAGTCTGACGCTTATCTACTTGAACTTTTTTCCCGCAGGTAGTGCACTGCGCAAAAGATGCGGACCACGATGAGGTCAAACAGGATCTTGACACCTTGTTGAAACATCAGGAAGAAATTAAGGATAACGTTGACTCGCGTTTGGGGGAGGGTCGTAGCCATATAGAATCAGCGCGAGAGGACATCAAGTCTGCCATTAGCTGCTTTGCAGGTTCGCAGTAGCATCTATCTACTCAAAATCGTGAATGGGTAAAAAATAAAATGAAAGCCAACAAAGACCTCGTTATCACCGAAATGTCCAAGGCTATTAGTCAAATCAGGCATTTTATCAAATGCCTAGGCCGGTAGTCAAATTTTGCCAGTTTGCGGATTTCAGTTCATAGCGAGAAGTTCACGGGTTTTCAATATTTTGGGAAGAAGAACATTACGAACTCTCCTTGTTCCTTCCTTTTAACATACCTCTAGTACATTTAAGTATTAAAATTTTAAAAATTCTATGTTTTGTGAAGTACTGAAAATGTCATGATAAATGTGCATTCCGGGTCTTAAAATCTTATTGTGTGCTGCATATTTTTACAGAGAATTCTCTCTCACAGGAGCAACGAATTATTTTGTCTTAAATTAGGGTAAAAAATCAAAATTTCAATCCAAGTAAGAATATTTGACTATTCGCCTAGGCATTCGATAAAATGCTTGTTTTGACTATTTTTCTTCGACAGATGTAGCAAAAACAATCAAAGTTTAGAGACCTCTGAGCAATGCTCATCATCATCGGCAATCATATAGCCAACGGATAAAATAAAAAGCAGTAATATTAAGTTGAAAAATGAAAGTGAAATCAAGTGCTTTCAATTAATGAAATTAATTAAAATCTCCGCTCCCGTTATCAATAGTTGTGACGTTACATACTTTCTGCCATACTTTATTTCTGAAACAGAAAAAAACAACGTAAATTCTTTAAACCTTCCGTGATTTTCCTGCCATGTGCGAAAAAAATTCTGTGAAAACTTAAAGGAATGTTGTTGATTTGCTCTCCTTCAATAAATAAAATGGGAGTGGAGTTCCTAAAACACCCCAAACTAGGAAATTGCGGTTCGGTTCCGATATCACCGCTATTATTCTATGCCTTGTCCACACAAAAGCAGTTTGCTAGTTTGGAGATTTTAAAATGATTTTCTTGAAAAATCGAGTTTTTAACCGAAAAAATCGATTGAATCGTATCGATTCGATTGCGTTCAATTAATCGCGCCGATCGTTTTCTATCCCTCAAAATTGAAAATTCTGATTTTTGCTACCCAAATGTTTTAAATCGCCACGTGAACCAAGTTTTGGACCAAGCAACCTCCCCGGTAATTTTCATTCGAATTTTTTTTAAAGAGTTCTATTATTGAGCCTCCGTACTTTCCGACTTATTTCAATAGATTTTATTGAAAAATTTATTTTTGTCACGATTTAAATGGATGAAATTGAATTCTCGCAGAGAATCTGATAGAATTGATCGTTTTTTTTTGTTTTTTTTTCGAAAAAATTCCCAACACTAGTTCATGGAACTTTGGGCGAATTGATGGAACGGACTGGGGTTAAGTTGCAGCTGATAGTAAGTTCCGGGAACTAGTGCGCCCGAAGTTCCAGGGATAGTAAGTTCTGGGAACTAGTTCGCTCGAAGTTCCAGGAACCACGCACATGTGGCTGAGGCCTGTCAAGCCATTTTTAATCCATTCGGGAAATTATATATTGGTTTATGTGGGAGATCATGAGCACAGTCCGCATACTAGGGTGGTCAGGCTTAAGCCTGAAACACTCTCAGGATGTTACCCAAGCATCCGTCGAGGAAGGGCGAAGCTCCCATCCGACCGAAATGGTCTTCAGAGAGCGAAAGGGCGAAACTCATCAGGCCGAAATGGCGACAGCATGAGTGCGGGAAGGCGAACCCACCAAGTTGAAATAACCGGTCGAAACGCAGTAGGCATGCTAAGTTGAAATAACCAGCACACCTTGGAGAGAGAGAGAAACAGAAGGGCGAATATATCCCAATTAGCGGGAGGGCGACGCACCATAAAGCAGAGCGGGCTGAGGGTTTGGGAAACAATCTGAATTGCGGACTGTTCAGATCTCCAACATACATTCCCGCGACCACAGTGCGTCAATTATCTTTACCCAAGCAGGTTACTGCGAAAGCAAGGAATATAAGTACGCTGTCGATGGACCAGTTCATTTTTTTGAGATATTGAGAGTATCAAGCATGGATAATGCTCTAAAAAATATTGTTCATAGGTTTGCTCACAGATAATCTGCCCCATTTGTAGAAATTGATGAGACGTAACCTCTGTGCGGCGTTCTGGATACACCAGCACTACCTCTCGGAGTAAGAACGAAGCTCCAGTATAAAAACTCCTCGCCGTACAGTGGTCCGGAAACTCCAGGTTTTGGACAAGGTTGCTCCAGCCGCTCTAAAAATGACGAGTAGGCTATTCAGAATTCGTCAACTCACATGAGTAGAAATCCTACTCATATGAGAAGAAGTTCTACTCATATCAATAGAATATTCTACTCATAAGAGTAGAAAAGTTCAACTCATAAGAGTAGAAAAGTTCAACTCGTTAGAGTAGAAAAGTTCAACTCATAAATGAATACAATTTTTTACATTTTTCAGAGGTGCTGCTTCTGACCAGGAGGCACCGACATAGAATGTAAATTTGAAAAATACAAACATTTTGTTCCTATGATTTTTTTGATGCGGAGACTAGTTTTTGAGATATCGGACACGGTAGTTTCAACGCTGAACTCGTGTGAGTTGAAATCTCTAGTCATATGAGTTGGCTAAAACTATGGATGGAGAAATTCTGCTCATTTGAGATAAATTCTATTCATATAAGTTGAAATTCTATTCATATGAGTTGAAATTCTACTCATTTGACTTTAATTTTCTACTCATTTGTACTCAGCATTTTTAGCAGGGAGTGAAATGGAATTTAGTGGAGGATTGGAAATTTCCGTGATTTATTTCATTAAATTTCACGAAGCTATGAAAAATAAGACACATACGTTCAAGGGCTGAGTATGGAACATTCATTAAAATATATTAAAAAGCAAAAACTACATTTTTTTATTACGTTCAATCAATACATCAGGGGCATGTGCTAAGGCTGGCCGAAAAAATTGTCGGGAAAATTCCAAGGGGAAGCCTCCTGGGTCTCCCTGCCCCCCTCCCCTGCCCCCCTCCCCCGTCCGAGGCGTCTGGATCCGCCGTCTGGAAAAAAAGATATGCAAGATGCGATGTAACTCGAATCAGAAATAATACTGTAATCATGCCCATAAGAAGACATTTATAAGATCTGTTTTGGTTTTGTCTAATTCACCTCGTAAACGATAGTGGAGCACGCTAACACTTGCACGAAAAACTTTTTCCTTCATTTTTGCATTGCTTCCAGTACATGAATCGCTGAGTAAAGTTGTGTCTTTCCTGCGTGTCAACGAAGAAAAGTGCTCGAAAGAGGCCCATGAAGCCATCTGCAAGAATTTATGTCTGCTATTGAAGTACACCGATTCTCTCGGAGGCGAGTGTCAAGTTCGTGAATCTCGCATTGGTAAAGACGTGGTCAAAATGAAGCAGGTGAGATCTACTTACAATTCCACGTAAATCAGCTGAGTTTCTTAAATGCAAAATTCAAGTTTTAACCCAGCCCACCCAAAATTATGAGATCTCATCGGAATGGCACCAACGGCGTCGAATATGATGGCTCGAAATCAAAACGGGCACAGAAAAAAAAGACAAAAAACAAAAAAAAAGAGAAAAGAAAAAAGAAACACATTTTAGTAACTCTAAAATGCTTAAAATTACGACCCTCGTAATTATCAATTTTCCTCGTTCCAACAGCGCAGATCGCAGGCATGTTTGGACCGCGCTAAAAAAGGTGCCAGTTCTCCCATTTACATAACAACTCTAAGTACCGTATGGTACATTCCTTATATTGGCACTCTAGTCACAACATCAGTATTCGAAACTCACAAAATGCGCTTAAAAAATCGGCCATGGCGCCTAAAAAATGAAGGCTCTGGGCCGACATGGCCCCTAAAAATTGCCCCCTAAAAATCTGGATTTTCACAGGAAGTCACATAAAAAAAGAAAAACAAATCTATTTGAATTGACAAAACTCAGAATTTTCAGCACTACAATAAGTGAAAGCTTGCTTTTTCTATTCTTCACGATTTCATTCTTAGTGCTATTGTCTTCCCAAGTGACAGCTACTTACTAGTTGTGTTACAAAAATATCTTGCGTCTAACTTTTCACTAAATGCGCCGTAATGTACAGGCAAAAAGTCAATTTGGCCTCTAAAAAATCTTTAATGGCGCCTAAAAATCGGGCTTGATGCGCCACATGGCTCCTAAAACGCAAAGGTGAGTTTCGAACACTGCACAACACCCTTGAAAAAATAAACCTTCATATTTTAGGTTCAGTTGGAAAAGGTCGGTTCGGTTTGCCATTGGGACGAGGAGAAAGACCGTGCCCTGCAAAAGCTGAGCAGGGCTGGAAACGCGTATGAAAGTGACGTGGTGAGGAGCGGGTGGGAATCGAGAAAGGCTATCAACACCATCTACAACGGGATCGCGGTGTTGAAAAAGGTTGACGTGGAGCTGAGGGGGGGACAGAGGTGCCCCACAAGTCGCACTCAGGCCAGAAGGATCGTCGAAGCAGCCCTCGAACTTCGTCACAAATTCCACTGTTTCGCGGAGTGATCGGACTTGTCTCTGGATCGGACCCTCGGAGAATATGGAGAATCGAGCACACGTGAACAACGACTATTAAATATCGTTTAGCAAAGACAATTTTGAAATAAAGTCACGGTTTATTGCACAAGAAAGTATGGGATCTTACTTTTTTAGAGTATAATTATCACTGAAAAAAAGTGTGCTCGGCTCAAGCATGATGATTCTTGAATTTGCCGCCGAGAATTTTTTTTATCTTGATTTAAGCTGAATTTTTCTTCATACAAGAAAAATAATGCTTGGGTTGAGCAAAAGAGTAGTATATATCTAGCAGAAAAATTCTTGATTCGACGACTGTTAAATATCGTTTAGCAAAGACAATTTTGAAATAAAGTCACGGTTTATTGCACAAGAAAGTATGGAATCTTACTTTTTTAGAGTACAATTATCACTGAAAAAGAGTGTGCTCGGCTCAAGCATGATGATTCTTGAATTTGCCGCCGAGAATTTTTTTTATCTTGATTTAAGCTGAATTTTTCTTCATACAAGAAAAATAATGATTGGGTTAAGCAAAAAAGTAGTAGATATTAAGCAGAAAAATTCTTGATTCAACAAAAATACTTGTTGGCGGCAAATTTAAGATTTTTAAAGCGTAATTCATGAATTAATAGATTTTTTTAAGTTTTTTATTTTTTTTTATTACTGGGGAAAAATTCTACTCCGTCTCGAGTCCAGACTTCGAAAATTGTACATGTAGAAATACTCATGATTCAATCGGGGTTTTGCTTGAGTCAAGGACAAGCCTCTTAATTTAAGCGGATTTCCTCTGAAATCGAGCGAAAATCTTATTGAATTAAGAGTATATTTTTCTTGTCAATTTTTTCACGAGTCTGAACTCTAGATCTGAGAGCCTTTTATTTTCTAGTAATTTCTATTAGTTTTAATTTGTTTTATATAGCACTTTTTTTAACAATAAATTTGCAATATTTGTGCACTGCATCATTTGATTAACGAATGGCGATTAATCGAAACGATTTGATTACACGAAAGATAGAAGATCGGCACTATGTAATGCAAAGAAAAATTGAAACTTGTTTAAATTTCATTGCAAAACTAAATGATGAGGCCCCTTCAAATATTAGATGGGCAACATACGTGCACATCGATGCAGTAGCAGTACTTATGCTACCTAATACAAGTTTATCATGTAATCGCACTTTATCGCAACCTGTGCCATACTTGTGAAATAAAGTATCTATACAAGGTGTCAGAATTCCTCTGCTAATCTTCCTCCCAATTTTTTCACAAAGTTTGAAATACTTTATTTATTTCCCGGAGTATACATACATTTTCATTTCAAGTCATGCAAACCCAGCCTCTTTTATTCTATTCCTCGTCGGTCCGTTTTCTCTTATCCCCCTGTGAATCAAAATCATGCCTATTACTTGATCAACAAGATTAAGAATAATTGATCAATATCCTCCAATCACAGTTCACTTTACGATCGAGAGAACGCTGACGTCATGTTACCTATATAAGTTCTACCAAGCCTAAAATCGAAATCTTTCAAAAGCTTCGACTCATGTGCACATGTTACGCGCTCCTCTCTTTTCGCGGTTTTACTCTAAGTTCTTTCCAAAGTATTTCCCCCAAAAGTTCATTTTTATGACTGCAGCAGCGTGCTATGAATTGAAATAGAATGTTTTACTCCGTAAAGTTTTTCCTAAGTGTGCTCCCTTAGGCAAAGTTACCGTCTGTTTATATGTATCTCGAGGTGCATCCTAGCATTTACTTACTTCCTTTTTACTTTGCTCTCTTCCCTATCACGTCAGTAATAACCCAAACGTATGACAAATAGCTACCTTCTAATTATCAGCGCTAGATTCATCCATGGTTTCAAGTTTACTTGACGCACAGGCACAGTGTTCTTGACGCGATTTGAGTGAAAGTTCGATATAATTCTAACCCGACGACGCGTGGTGGTCCATTTATCAGATACCGGAAGAATATCATGCGGAAATTTCAGCAAGAATTGTTACAATACGTAAGAAAAGAGGATTTTAAAGAGATGAAACATTCTTTTATTAACACATATTTAACAAGATTGAGCATTAGAAATCAAAATAAATACTTACATGCAACCATTATAATACAATAACGAAAAATTTAAAAATAAACGTCTTGTGTGCGTCACTACCCGGTCAAACAGCAGTGACGGACTAAGTTTTCTTTTTCAAAGGGGACATTCAACTCATTAAAGGCTCGATCGAGGTAAAAATAGGTTCCTGTTCCTCATGAAAATATGTTCGTAACTTTCGGCCCCCATAAAAACGGTTTTGTCTTAAAGTGTGGCAAAAAGTATTGACGGATCTACGTACAAATTATTTTTAAGTAGCTCATAATACCAAACTCTTTACATCTTTATGATGTTTAAACACAAGTATTTTAAGAGACATATTTTTCATTTTGACCATAATTATACAAGACCCTAAAATATGGTATTATCCCTACATGTCACGTATAACTTAATTAAGTAGATGAGTATTCCCAATCAATACTTACGAGTATGACCACAGATTTTGAGGCAGATTAGAACTTACGTATTGAATGTATTGGACTGAAGTCGTACTTATTTTTCCGTACGCGTTATTTTCTCTCTTCCATGAAAGGTAGGACTGAAATAGAATTATACATTTATAAAATCTCCTATTTTAAGTTGTGAAACGTCTTATATGTGTAAGTGGTGCTGCATAGAGGAAAAAGTATACATATCTTTGGTAACTCCCAAACCACCCATGAAACAAAATTTCATACAATTTTTGATTTTGTTGCTACCGGATTTATTTCTGCTCAATGGCACGTGTCGAGGTTACAAGGAACCTGCACGCCGCAGAATGGTTGGAAACATTCCACGTTGAATCTTAGGTGATCTCTATCAGCTATCGAATCATTGCTGCAGATTCCTTGTTTACACAAGAGAGAATTGATTTCAGCAGCGAGGCGCGTGAATGCTTGATTATCGATATTTCACCATTCGAAGCCATAGTAAAGAATCGATTATTGAGGTTTTCGTTGTCAACACCCTGTCTATCGATTCTTTTCTATAGGTTTGAATGGCGGAGCAATCGATACATCGCAAAGCACACCGCACCGCACTGATTGGTTTCTGTACTGTCCCGCGGGGTAGCGTGTGGGAAAGTGGAAGCTGTCTCAGCAACAAGAGAGTGAAACGCGCAATTCAAATAGATTGAGTTTATCAGAAAGAGAGCAACCCTTATGGAAAAAATCCAGTTTTGATAAGTTGCAAGTTCGATTTGTTCTTATTCTCCCCCATTACTTTTTAGTTTCTGAAAATATATTAAAATTTTACAGAGTATTTATTTTGTAAAAATGGGAGTTCGGATTCCACTTCTTTCAAAATTCCAGCCAACCCCCGAGGTCGTAGACTTTAACTATCGTTGGCAGTAGATATGCGTCGAATGAGGTCTAATACAATTCACATCTACTAAAAAACCTCTGAGTTTCCTCTGGGTGTCATGAGTATTTAAATTTGAAATGTATAAAACAACAACAACATTCGCCTTCTACATGTGAGTCGATAGCACCGTACAGAATGGGAATCAATTCTTTTGATTTTTGTCATTTCAATGAAATCCTACTTTATGAATTTATAATTAGCAACAGGTGATGCCTGATTGACATAGTATGTGGCATTGCATGGTGTCTTCGGTGTCAGTTGGATTGCATTTTGCAAAAAGGAACCAAGGGCAACAAAATTACTGAAATCATGCACAAAATTAAATATACAAATGTAATTTTTATCTTGAATTTATGGTTCATTGGGGGTGGAGATGAAACTTGTTTAGATGATCAGTTTATATTTGCAAGGTAAAAAGGTTGCACAATCTCAGCGACATCGGAGTGCTTTTGGCTCCTTTCCGCAAAATGCAATCCGATTAATTTTTTCAACACTCGAATAGCAGGTCAAGAGTTAATGGAAACGCCTCGATGCAACTATTCCCGCTCAAAGGACGTCCACGTTGCATAACCACAAAATGAAGGGGTTTCTTGCTCGTGGGATGACGCGCGATTGGTACCGAAAATCAATCTTGCTTGGGTCCATTACCTCAAAACTTCTTGTTTGGATTACTATTTTCTTTGGCAACACAGCGTCATTATTCGGTGCGCGGGGATGAAAACTTTGGTCGCACGAACGGAACAGATCATATTGGACTGCATTTTGCAATTTGGAACTATAAATTCTGGCTCATCTGAAAAAACACTTACGTGCATAGGGAAACTAATGGCAAATACGTTATTTTAAACCAGGCCGGAATGTATAGTTCCAATTGCAAAATGCAGTCCTATGCGCTTTTCGGTTTAGAGAACTAGAGCCTCAGCTAGGCAGACTCACCGCTTTAATCGACGAATCCGGACTTCAAGCCGTTGAACCGAATGATCAGTCCCACGAACCGAAAGTTACGCCCTACAAACTGAAAAACTTCAGTTTATACGAAACATATTTCACATCGATCAAATTTTCTGGATCGGTGAACTGAGACTTCGATTTCTTGAACCATACCGAAGTTTAGTTTCGAGAACCGAAGCGGTCGGTTTGCTCGGATGAAGATACAGTCGTCTGAACCGAAAAGCGCCCACTACATTCGTCGCCTTCCTGACATAAGGGCGTAACTACAATCAGCAATGAGCCCTGTCGTCCATACAATTCAATGCTTTTCCGGGCTCATCTCAATCAGCAGTTACGCCCTTATGTCAGCCAAGCAACAAATTATTCGGTTCATATATTCGAGGCAGAGGTGAAGAGTAAACGATCGCGATTATATCGACATTCTCCCATTTGAAGCTATCGCAAAGAATCGATTATTACGTTGTTCGTCGGGAGCACCCTGTTTATCGATCCTTTTCCATAGGTTTAAATCGACCGCGTTAAACAAAAAGGAACCAAGCCACATCAGCTATTGCCAAATCTAATCGGGCAATTTAATTTTTAACATGAAAACGGTTGTGCGGATTTCCGTGCAAATTTCAGTGAAAATTCTCCATGGTACGAAGTAAATTCTTTAAAATTTTCAAAGAAATCCGGACGAACGTTCTCTCGTAAAAAATTTAATTGCCCAGTTAAACTTGACAACAGCTTATGTGGCTTGGTTCCTTTCTGTTCCACTCGGTCCAAATGGGAAATCAATCGATACTCGGGAAGGCTTTCAACCTTGCGAAGAGAGCGGGCAGGGGGCCATCTTGGGTTTAGCCTCGAAGTCCTCATCCTCCAGCACGACGACCTTGCGTCCGAAATGCAGGGTGGTGACCATGGGCCATCGCTTGCAGACGAACAGCCCGAACCACATCAAGAAGTTGAGCAGCGGCCTGAAGAGTTCGGAGACGACCGGGGTGGAGAGGAGAACCTTATGGGCGAAGAGCTGGTAGTTGTAGAGGGCGCGGCTGGCGAAGTTGTCCAGGCAGGGCTCGTGCTTCATGCCGCAGAGATGCCGGGTGAAAGCCATGAAAGCGCCGGCGTCCAGGATGGGGACCACCGGCCGCATCCCTTCCATCAGCGCCGTCGAGAAGTGGATGAAGTCGGGGTCGTCGCGCGCCAGGCCGGGGACGAAGGCTCGTTCCAGGACGATCCGGCAGGCCTCTTCGGTTTCGTCAGGGTTCCCGTCGCATAGATTGAACCTGCGAAGAGAGGGGTTGCAAATTATTGGCATGTAGAGAAAGCGACTGAAAAAGCTAACCAAGAAGAGTTAAAAGGAAGAAACACCCTAGGAAGAAAGGCTACAGCGTTGATGAATGGAATGGAGATGTTGCATGTGTGAGGAATTTGCGATTTGACCCTTGATTCTTACGTGAATGTTCGTGAGAAACACGATGGCGCTTCTGGTTTTCTCTGAAATCAACTCCCAAGCTCAAAAAAAGCTCTCAAGTTGAGGCCAAAATGGAGGGATATCCCACCCTTCCCCGAGAGTCCACGTCTACATCAAGACAAACTCTCCACGCAAAGATAGGGAGCAAATACATTAGCAGGGTTGCCGTGTTCTCAGTTTTGGAGTCCAAATAAAGTGGCAGGCCTGTCAATGTATTGGTCCCTATCTTTGCATGGAGAGTTTGTCTTGATGTAGACGTGGACTCTCGGGGAAGGGTGGGATATCCCTCCGTTTTGGCCTCAACTTGAGAGCTTTTTTTGAGCTTGGGAGTTGATTTCAGAGAAAACCAGTAGCATCATCGTGTTTCTCACGAACATTCACGTAAGAATCAAGGGTCAAATCGCAAATTCCTCACACATGCAACATCTCCATTCTCATAATGCAGGCCTTTGTACGCTGATAGACCATACTGCCGCCGCGCCGTGCTGAAGAGGAACGCCGCCGCTGGCTGGATACTGAGGGGGCCAGCAGTGTGATGTACGTGAAATTGCATTCTCCAGTTTTTAAGGAGCTCTGCTTCATTCATGGTATAAGCCTGTCATTTTACATTTGCCATTTAACCAGTGCTCCCAGTCCATGTCCTTCAAAAGTTCCAGGATTCGGAATTTTTTGGTTCTAATTTCTCCACTTCATGAGATTCTTTTTAGATTTGTTCAAAAGTTCCGAGAAAGTTCCGAAAAATGCGAAAAATCCGGAGCATTTCGGAAATTCCAAAAGTCCTGGGAAAAATTTAGGAAAATCTCAAAAGTTCCGAAATTCGATACTAGCCCCGGGAAATGGGAGCACTGCTTTTCTCCGTCTTTTAAAATATCTTTGTTTTTATTCACGTATACTTCCATTGTTACAGCTCAGCACAAACCTTTATACTATCTAGACCACGCTCGTATTTAGGATCACTTTCTGACCTGAAGAGTCTCTATTAAGTATGATTCACCGAGGACGACAGTTGCCAAATACTGCTGAAAAATCAGCAGATTCCTCATTTACACCAATGTAAATATCCACTTTTCATCGCATAACCTGGCAAAGCTGTCACCTTAAAATTAAAGGAACGTTCGTCCTCATGGCATGGCCCTGGAATCATTAAAATCGATCGCTCTATCCAAGTAGACAAATATTCTTTGTTGTTGTCTTTAAATATCATGCAAGCCCCTTTTCTGTGAATATTAAGTAGACTTAAAAACAATCCTTTTTATACGAATTTTGAAGAAAAATCCTCCTTTTTAAAATATTTTGATAAATGTTTGTGGAGTGGATACTTAATTACTTACTTATCGTTGATCCCCATTAAATAGCCAATGGTTCTCCAAAAGTGGACGAAGCCGTCGATCTGATCACTTGTCCCTTTAAGCCCGAGGAGTTTGAAGTTGAGAAGACTGAAACCCATGAATCCGAATTGTGTGAGAGCCATGTCTTTTTGCGAAATATGCCCGAAGCCTACGCCGTTCGCTTTGTTGCTAGCTGCGCAGTGGAACCCTCGCACCATAATCAAGGATTTGTGAGCCCTGGAAAAAATTGAAAATTTTACATTAACGACACCACTGATTATATGATGCTAGGATTGAATTCATTGTCTTAACCTGATTTGTTTATGAATCCTTTATTAAACACAACCACTTAGAATAGTGCGTACTGAGGTTGGGGAATCCCATACTGTATAAATAAAACCGAGTTGAACCAAAGATAACTTACGCGAGCTTAACATGAGTTAGTCTGTTACTTTAATACGCGACAAATTAGCAATACTTACAACTAAGTAAATAACATGTCTATTAATTAATAAACTTATGAAATACTATTCTGTCTTAATTATTTACAATTATTACGTATTATAGGGGAAAAATGAGTAAAGCGAGTCAAAATAATAATTGATTTTAAACGTGTCAAAGGTTTAACCTGATTATCGTTCGGGATATTTCAAGCAACGAGAAGGCCAGAGACAAGAGATGCTTACAGTACTGCCGTACTAAGGAAGAACGCCGTATGAACATTCGAGAGTTGCGAAATTTTCTTCGATAAAATGCTCATTTTTGAGGAGAGTTTATGAATATTTTTCCCTGGAATTTTCTGAAGTTTTAGACCAAATTGCAAAAAAAATTATCTGAGTAATTGGAAGACAAATATCAACAAATTGTCTTGAAAACTAGGGTTTTGTCAAATGAAATTTGGCGACGCCTAAGGGTTCATACGGCGTATTTTCTCAGCACGACAGAATACGGCATGGCGTGGAATGGGATGTTCAACCGACTCAGTGGAGCTTATAGAAAATCAAAAAATTTAAGACAACCGTCCCACTTAAAAAAAATTCTGGTGTAAAAAGTAAGGGTATGTGTAGGTAGGTACTCTCACTGCACTCTGGTGGCAAAAGATGGAGCCACCTATGGTCGCTTTGTGAGCCAATTCGATCGGATTTTTGCTTGAATCGAGAGCCAAGCCGCTTATTCCAAGCCAGGGCCGGATTAAGGGGGTGGCCACATGGGCCGTGGCCCATGGCGGCAAAATTAGGAGGCGGCAAATTTTGCAATTTTTTTAAATGCAGGTACAAAAAAATCAGATTCAGAAAAAAATTACAAACAAGAAAAGGTGACAAAATCTCTCATTTCCTGAAAGTTCATTAATTTCTAATTTTGTCGTATTTCGGTGATACCTACAAAAGACTGCGCACCTTTAATTAGTTGAGTTAAGAGAGAAACCAAACACGTAATTTGGCCTGGAGCGGCGCGGACTTGATGACGAGGACTTGAGAGAAAAAGCAGAAGCCATCGACGACCTTCGATCGGTATGTAACACATATTAGCGCCTACGAGACCGCATGAATACTTCACGCATTGCGTCAAACACAGTACGGTCAACAGCGGTCGGCGCGGCGTGAAACGTACACTGCCTACAAGACAACATGAATACTTCACGCATTGCGCCAAACACAGTGTGGTCAGCGCGGCACGGCGGCGGAGGTTAAAATTATTAAACCACATGTATGTTTGTTCTTTCTTAATTTTTTAGTTTATTTCTTACAAATGAAAGGCCTTGTCCCCACAGAGATAGGTTTACGGAACTTAACTTTCGCGCGAAGTTCCGTGAACTGTTGCTAGTAGTGTTGACAGGGCATACGCAAAAAACGTGTCCAACACGAGTGAGCGCGTCTTATGCACCCTTCTCCCTCCGGCACGTTCACTTGATGGTTTTTACTAATGTTTCAAAATGAATGAGAAGAGGGCGGCAAAATACAGGTGGCCCATGGGCGGCAAGTAGGTAAATCCGGGCATGTTCCAAGCGGATTTAATTCCTTTTGATTTAAGCAAAAATCCGAATGAATCAAGAGTATTTTTTCTTGTGAAATGCTCTAATAGGAATCTGGACTCTGAATCCAGTAGACATTTTTCCTAGTGCGCCCGTGCAATTCTTGAATGCACAAACTTTCCAATCTGATTCATCAAAAGCAGTTCTATTGGACAATTCTTTTTTACTTTTATTTTGAACTAGCAGGAAACCCGTGCTACGCACAGGAAAACCCCACCATCAGCAATCACTGTGATTAGTGATCAGTTACTAATTGTGTTTCTGAATTATTATCTACTATTTCAAAATTGGCGAGACGCGCTGGTTTGATTAAAAAGTAGAGATTAGTAGTATGCTGCTATTTTGGTCCGTTCTGCAATAAGCTCACATGATATTTATAATAATAAAAAATACCCAATCAAAAGTTGGTTATTTTCATGAAGATTTGTTACTTTTGTCAGTTCAATGTTCAATTGAAGTTAGCTGGTGAGTTTCAGCCGCGAAAATTACGGAACTTAGCCAGCGGTTTCGTTTAATTCACAGCAATGGCGGGTTTGTCATCTACATAGCGGAGAAAACTTGATTTCTCCAGGGATTTTGTAAAACAAATTAGAAATTACACGATAATCACCACGGTATCACGGCAAATACGTCGTGTTCCTGGCGAATTTTTAAGATCATTACAATTGCGCGTTATTCACATCAATATCGTGACATACACGCGAATTTCTGACTCAATTAAGACTACGTAAATGTGCGCATAAAACTCATAAACATCTGTTACTTGAGATGGGCGAAAACGTATGATTTTCCTTCAATTTTGTATGATACCACATACCCACTCTGGAGTTCAAATAGTTGCTCGCTTCAATTCTGCTTGTTAAAAGTGACGAATTGGAAGAATCCAATCTAAATTTCACGAGAACTATGGGATGTAACCATCGGTTTCCCTATATAAGATTTAATGTTTTGAAATTTAAAAAAAAAAAGAAAAAAAAGAAAGAGCATTAGCGATGATTTAAAATTTTGCAAGTAAGACTCATGTGTTTCGGTTCCACGATCGGAGTCAAATATTGATGAAATGCGCGCGAAACCCCCGCTTCTCCTCCGATTGAAGCGTTGCACACCGTCTTTATGTTCCATTTTTATTTATTTATTTTAATAATGAAGTTAAGCAACAGCTTCTCTCAAAATTTCCCGAGAATTTGCCTTAATCATTTCAAAACAAGTTAAAAGTAACAAAAAGTAACCCCAGGCGACATGAAGACTAAATCACAACAATTTTTTTACTTTCGAACTTGAGCAGGTAAATTTTTTAAAAAAAAAAACAAAACAAAACAAAACGAAACGAACGGTTCCGCGGAGCACATTTTTCACTAATCTTGCAAAAAAAAACAAAAACGGAAGGGCACTCGAGCCAATGCGCGAACCAATCGCGAAAATCGCGAACCAATGCCGTAGAATGAAGAGACTACGTCAGTCTCTTTATTCTATGCCGATGCATAGACAGATTTTCCAGATTTTCACATCCCTGAGAGAGTAGCCCGGCAACGGATGCACGAGTCGGAGCTCGCAACAATCATGGCGCGGCGTTTCCAACAGCGCGACGCCGAACTCGTTCCATCTTCCTCGCACTCGTTGGACGCTTAACCCCTTCCATCTTCCTCGCACCCGTTGCGCGTACCAGAAGAACACACGTAAAATGTATCAGCTGTCTTTCAGCGCGAAACGCGGAAATCGCTCCATCTCGCTCGCACTCTCTCTCGCACCCGTTGTCCTTACGGGAAAATCGACACACGCGGACCGCGATATCCCGCGAACCGGCGGGCGGATCGCGAAATCCTCCCTTATCCGGCGCCTCGGGGTAGAGAGGGATCCCAGTGCGGAATCTCAGGGTCACACGGCCTCCCGTTCACGAGATCCGCTGATACGTGAGTGAGTGAGTGAGTCAGTCAGTCAGTCAGTGAGTCAATCAACGTGAAGTCTGCTTTATTAGTATAGATTTCTCCTACTTACAAAGTATTAAGAAATGTATCAATTATTGTCCGTAATAATAACTTAACCTAGTTAGGATTATTTTATTTATTTATTTTTTTTTTTAACTTCAAGTAGCCCTGAAAGGCTAACCCCATTCAATTCCTGTCTACCTTCCCTACCGTCATATTAACCTATTTTATAAACCAAATTTCTTCCACCTATAACACCTGGGCAACAACTCTCCATCACCCCAATTAGTTTCCTGAGACCTAACCATCTCCCTAACTACCATTTTCTTGAAACCATTGATGTCTTGTTGGTGATGGTCAATTGGCGATGGTTGCGGCCATTAAACCACCTAGATCGACATGTCAAAGCAAAATTGAGTAGATAGGTGAAGTACCTTGACTGAGGGTCCTCGAGGTCACCGTCATACCACATGAGCATGTGATGAATGGTGGCCATGTACCTCTTGTACGCAGTTATCTTGTCGCCAGACTTGCGTGACATTTTAAGAACCCGCAGAATACTTGCGATTGCCAAAACAACGATCAGCCCGGCCAGTTTTGATACGAATAAAGCGAAGTAATTTTGATGGAAGAATTCTTGCCCTCTGAAAAAGATCAAAACACAATTAATTTGACATTTTAAAAGATGAACCTGCACCTAACCTTTGAGGTGCACATTGTACCCATTAATAAGTTTCAAAAAATGTATACGTCGCAAGCAAATAGTCAAATCAGGCTTTTTGTTAAGTGCCTAGGTATTTAGACTGAAATTCTGATTATTTTGCTGTCTGTAGACGAAATAATTCTCTGATCATGTGGAAAAGAATTCCCTCTAAAAACTTGTTTCATTCGATCATAAATACGATTTTTCTAGTCCTTCAATGCGAATTTATCTCAAAAGGTGCGACATTTCGTAAAGTAAAAAGTTTTCACAATTGGGACGGACGAAGAATTATGAGGAGCAATTTTGAACGAGGAATAAAATGAATTGTACCTAAACGAATGTTTGTCTCAAAATATTGAAAATTGGAGAGGTCTTTGTGAAAACGTAAAAAACTTCGTAAACTCTGACAATTTAATAAGATTTGCCTTGGCATTCATTGATAAAATGCCTAATTTGATTGTTTGCCTGCGACATACCTACATAGTCGAACGTACCAAGATTCGATTTTAATGATAATTTTTTTGTAAACCAAAACTGAATGCATTTCAAATTTCCTGAGCGCATCGACAGTAGCTCTGGCATCAGTGGTACTGATCTCGTTTGTTTTTAACAAGACATGAGATGCGTTCAGAGTGATATCGACTCAAAGCATCACCCTATATAAAAAAAGATCACGGGGTTGGTATTGATACCTCTAATTAATTGTGGTAGTACTCCAATAAATTAGGTTACTAACCCAAATGTTGTGATACTATCATAATTAATTGGAAATGTCAATCATTCAAAAGACTAGGGTAGTACCAAAATTTTAACGGAAAACTCCTAAAAATTTTTCCCCTACTTTGAAGAGGAAAATTTTCTTTGAGCTCAAAAAAGAAGAGTTTGAAATTATGAACATCGTCAGAATGTCTGTTTACAAGTTTTGTTTCTATTTTCTCATACCGTCTTCAATATGCAGTGCAATTCTTTGAAGAATTTTGCACATCCTCCCTCTACCCCAACATTATTTTTCTGAATAGTTTTTAAAATTCACATGAATTCTCCGACAAATATGTCCTCATCGTTCCAAAAGTAAGATTCTAACAATACTTTGGAAACATCATCGCTTCACAAGAATCAGCCACAAGAATCGCCACAGCCACGTAGTGGTGTGTAATAGCCGAGTTTTTTGGACATCCGTAAGAATCTGAGCGATAACTATTCAAACACGGCTGTCGTGAGGTTGCATATTCACTATTATGAAGGCGATTTGTGCGAGCTCATGCAAGGCACTTCATTAAATCACTACCATCTTGGCGTTTTCGAAATGAAGATCGAACTTCAAGTGGATGGTGATGTTGCCACAATATTCCTAAGCGTGGTGGCCATGCATTGAAGTTTTGAATTGATGGAAATCGTACTTTTTGAACTTTTGCGGATCGTACCATGGTGGGAGGCGGCCCGTCTGCTTGAGGTTGACCGGAATGTTGGCCCCCTCGTTGAGGATTCTTTCGGCGCGCTCTCTACCCATCTCCGCATCTCTCACTTTCACCTCTGAAACAGAAAACAAATGAGATGTACCTTCAAATAACTTTAAATATTATTATTAATTTATTATACAATTATACAATTATATATTCATACAATTATATTAATTATGAATTATATAATTTATTATCAGTCTCATTTGAGCATCAAAGAAAAGAAAACTGCTTTCAACCATCTTAAAAAAGGAATAAAGGCTAGAGTGCTGCCGTGCTAACGAAAAACGCCCAATGAACCTTCAGACGTTGCCAAGTTCCCTTTAATAAAACACGAATTCCCTAGTAAACTCATGGATATTTTCCTTCCAATTTTTTAGATAATTGGGTGCACAATTTCACCTAAAGATTCTGAAGATTTAAAGGAAAAATATTCATAACTCGAGGACATGAGCCCTGAGACCCATTAGAATATGTGCGTAACAGGGCCCACGTAGTACATAGTTCCGTTTGAGAGAAATACGCCCAATAATTTATTGTCAGTTAGGCGGTATTCTTCCTTAGCCATCGATTGACAATTCTTTTGAAGAATATCTCAAAGTTTCCAAGTACATTAACCCTTGGAGAGAAAAAGATTTTTAAGACATGGCTTTTTTTGAGATTCGCCCTTCTTCCAGCATGGTCCTCAATAATGGAGATGTTGCATGTGTGAAGAATTTGCGATTTGACCATTCATTCTTATGTAAAAGTTTACGAGAAACATGATGGTGCCACTGGTTTTCTCTAAAATCAACTCCCAAGCTCAAAAAAAACGCTCTCAATTTGAGGCCAAAATGGAGGGGATATCCCACGCTGTCCTGAGAGTATACCTCTGCATTAAGACAAACTCTCAATGCAAAAGATAGAAAGCAAATACATTGACAGGGCTGCCACATTATTTAGGGACTCCAAAACTGAAAACACGGCAACCCCGTCAATGTATTTGCTCCCTATCTTTGCATGGAGAGTTTGTCTTGATGTGGAGGTGGACTCTCAGGATAGCGTGGGATATCCTCTCCATTTTGGCCCCAACTTGAGAGCTTTTTTTGAGCTTGGGAGTTGATTTCAGAGAGAACTAGTGGCACCATCGTGTTCCTTGCGAGCTTTTACATAGAAATCTTCAGTCAAATCGCAAATTCCTCACACATGCAACATCTCCATTCTTCTTTTTCGGCTGTCTGGCAACGCCTCTCACTGATTGGTGCGGCGGTTCGCGGGTACAAATCCCCGTGAGGTCATCATTTGCATGCGCAGTTTGCTCCGTCCGCGAATTTTATTTCGGTGTAAACGAGTGTTTTGCCTCGCGCAGTCCACGGCCCGCATATCAATACAGCCCCAAATCGAGGATTTAAGGCCGCAAATGTTCTGACACCTCATCCTTTTCCTCTTTCTGCGTTTATTCTCGTCCTCTCTTGCCGCTTCCTCCTTCCTTCCTTTCGTCGTAGAGCCTCAAGCAGTTGGAGGCCATTATTATGCTAGCAAAGTATCTTAGAAGAGAAAAATAATAGATTTTTATCGTTGTAAGGTCTTTTTGTCCAAAAGTTTTTCATTTTTTAAAAATTGTCTCACTCCTCTTTGCCTTTTTTCTTCTTTTTTTCCATTTGCAGGGCGTGAATGAGCGAGTATCGATATTTCTCCATTTGAAGCTATGGTGAAGAATCGATATTAAAGTGATGGTGGCAAACACCCTGTTTATCGATTCTTTTCCGTACGTTTAAAAGGCAGATCAATCGATGTATTGCTAAGCACACCACGCCACTGATAGATGCGAGCAAAGAGAGGCCATTACCAGAAAATGAAAAAATACACTAAGAAGTGGCCCGAACTCTACGTAACAAGGTGGAGAAATGGTGCTGGGTCCATACCCAAAGTAAAAATTATTAAATAATTTCGTACTGGTACGCATTATAGTTCAAAAAATTTAATTTTGACTCGAATTATAATTTTTGGAACTTCTTGACTTTGTTTTCCCCGCGAAATGGTGTGAACCCAGCACCATTTCTCCACCTTTCCAAAATCACACAAAGATATTTACTGGGCTGTTTTACTGGCAGGCAATAATTTTAAGATGAATCCAATCTCTGTAAATCGTGAAATAATGACCTGAGTTTTTTTCTTTTTTTATTGGCTTAAGCGATCCTTAGAGCACTAAGCACTCGGAGCTGGATAGTTTTGATAGAGCTTGGAGTGAAACTAATTTAAATAATTTTACGAAGTTTTGAAGTTTTGATTTTTATTCGCAATCAGAATGATTAAAAGGCAAATTATTTTTTCAACAAAATAAATAAGTATTACATTTCCCGATTTGTGTATGAGAGTGTGTGACGCGAAAATTAGAATTTTGGCAATATGCCGTTGGGAGTTTTTTTTCTTTTGTTGATAACATGAGCCAAACTTGAACCTTTTAAGCTTTGATATTATCCTCTATATGGACCACTGCCAGATGGTCAGTTGGCAGCAGTAACTCCAAATTTTCATGACAATGCCAGATTTTTTTCACGTCAAAAGATTCTGAAAATGTGAATGTGTTTAAGAGTATTTTCACCCTTACAAAAAAAGATGTTTTTAATTCACAGCCGCGAAACGTTTGTAGTGTTAGGATTTATAAGAGCTCATCCTATTCTTCTACGTTAGGAAAGAACGATGTATACTGAAACCTCCAGAAGTTGACATATTTTCTTCAATCATTTATAAATTTTCTGGAGGACGTGTGAATATTTCTCTTCCAATCATTTACGAATTTGTCCGCAATTTAATTTAAAGTATCTGTGAAAAATATTCAAAACTTTACGAAAAAAACATACCTACATTATATCTTAGGACATTTGACAACATTCAAAAGTTCATACGGCGTATCTTTTCACGGTACTTAGTATTTTAGTCATGTGAAAAAGTAATGGTGGTTAGAGCGATAAGCTCATTAGTTATACCGTGGTTTAGACATGCTGAGCGCTTAACTACACTCGATTGGAGATTTAGTGCTTGGAGCTGTTAAATTGAAATCGAGACTGTAATTTGCAACCACGCGAAAGCACCTCTTCGTTTTCCGGCAGGTTTGCAAAATGGCCTCAAGACTCTCTCGTGATGAAAATAAGCTCAAAATAATTTCACTAGAGGAGCCATGTGTCAATGGTCATGGTTCTCGAAAAAGAACTAAATGTATGAATCCTTTGATTCATTAAAACTTTTGAACCTTTCTTTTGATTCCAACAAATCAAAAAATCAAATTTTTTTCATCAAATTTGTCGTTTCTAAAATAATTTAACTTTAGTTTCTCTCAGAGAGACGCACTTTCGAAGTGAAAAGCGCTGAAGAGCGCGAAATTTTTTCACCTGTTCAAAAATATTCTGAGTAAATCTCAAGGAGATATTTTGGTTAATTTTTTTTTTTAAAATAAACCGTAGTAGAAGTCTCTTACATGATGTGATTTAGCTAGGTATTTTTCAACTTCAGCCCTCGCTATGTTTGTGCTAAATGCATATAGTTTTTACATGGGTACAAAACAAGTTTAAATTCCACACCCTGTAACAGCTCAAGCTAATAAAGCTATAATCGGCTCTTGGAAAACGAGACACAATTTTAGGGGACATCCTAGCTGCAAATATTTCCCCTCATAGGTGGGGTCTCTGCCCACATATTTTGACAAATGCTGTCCACTCGAAGTGAAAACAGGAAGAGCATAAAACAAAAACGAGCTTACCAACAGTGGGGCAAGTATTTTTCTGGCCCTCCATCCTCCCGGGGTTCACCACCACCCTCACACAACCCCAAACACACAACCCTCACCCACACTACCCCTCACTGACCACTCGAAACTCACACAAGCGCAGGTGGACGCACATTTTGGCGGGGTCGCGACGTGGACTGGCGAGAAAGCTCATACCTGTCTTCGCGCCGATGGCCCTAACTGGTTATCCTCGACTAACGAGCTATCGCTCGTCGATAGATCGAAGTTTGACCCTTTCTCCTGGTGGCACTGGTGAGCCTGGTGCTGATCTTTTCTTACCCATTGTATTCCTTGAGGAGAGAGTGAGATGCAGTGCATAGCTGAGTTGTCAGGTTTTGTTGTTTTTGTCTTATTTTATTTTCTTAGCGATGACGGTCGAAGAAAAAAGGAGAGAAAGAATCACGACTACAAAATCACGAGTTGAAGAGTTTAGTGCCCCATCAGCAAGGCCCTAGGGGGGGGTTTTGGACCATCTAATTCGGATTCCTTAGGGTCGATTGCCCTGACCCAAAATAACCTAGAAAATAATGGTACGCACGAAAAAATATTGGATGTCGCTTCAGCATTTATACCTAATGTTAAAGAAATGTGCGAAAAGTATAAATGCTAATTTTACATTAAAAATTGCTACGTCAACTGCGCCCACGGTTGAAAGAACAAATTCAACGTTGAGTTAGCATTTTTTTTAATGTAAAAACAGTATTTGATACTAGGATCACATTTTGCATTTAAGAACCACTATATCCGGCTCTTCTGTAAAAGCACCTCTCTGCATACCGAAACCAATGGCGTATCTGCTGTTTCTGGACTGAGCCAGAAACAGTGGTTCCTTACTGCGGAATGCGGTCCGCTTGTCGCACATTTTTTTCACAGTATAAAAGCTAAATTAACATTTAATTTTTTTTCCGTGGCGGGTGGTTTCGGACACTCTGTACATGTATGACCAACAGTGTTCGAAACGCATAGGCGCCAACGCGCCAAATGCGCCGAAAAAATGAAGGCTCTGCGCCAACGTGGCCTCTAAAAATTGTCCCCCCCCCCTCCAAAAAAATCCTAATTTTTCTGATTTGTGATTTTTTGAAATTTCCCCCAAGTTACAGTTACTAGTTGTGTAACTAAAACATATTGGGTCTGACTTTTCACTGAATGCGCCTGATTTATACACTGAAAAAAAACTCCGGCCGTGGGAGCCGCAATTACGGGCTACATAGACATACCGTCCGTTCCGGGCTTAAAGCCCAAAAATTCCGGCTGCTGGAGACGTAGCTTCGATTGCTCCGGGTTCAGAGGCCGAAGCTACGGCTCCA